TTAAAAAAATATATGATTAAATACTTTAGGAAATTGTGTTGAAACTTACAAAAGTAATGATATAATTGTAGAATTAGATGAATGATCCAATGTCTAAACAAATGATCAAATTGTTGGTCGATTACACTTAAGATAATTATTATATCGATTAAAAACTTTAAAATCTTATTACTAATAATTTTTTAATTTTTGTTACACAACCTAATAAACAGTATTACCATTGCGATTACAGTTTTAATACAAATTTGTTAATGTTAGCAATAGTAATAATGATACCAAACTGTTAAAAAACAATATATAACATAAAAATCACTAAAAGTGTTTTATAATAATGAATCGGTGTTATGAATAGCGAGAGCACCGGCAAAAAAGTGAGATTCACTGTCAATGAATGCTTTTTATATAAGTTTATACAGTATTTTGGGGATTGAATTGTGTGTTACGCCCCAAAAGACTTACGTATTGAACGAAAAAAAGTACAGTAAATGAAATTCAGAGCTCAGAGTCTGAGAGAGTGTTCACTCAGAGAAAAGATGCGAAAAGTGAGTCAACAACTGAAGAATTGCAAGACTCAGAGCTCTGGCATAAAGCAGATCAAGTGCTTCGGTATGTCTGAGTGTCAGAGTATTTGTTATCTACAATATATATATACATATAATATGTGTTATATAAGTATACAGTAGTGACAGTACTGGTCGTCGGAATAGTAGGCAATCGATGCGAGAATTTACTCTTTTTTGTTAAATGAATACAAGAATTTACAGAATTGAATGCATTTAAAGAACTGCTTTAAACATATATAATATGTTATTTGTATTATTGAACACTAATGTTAAGCAATTTCAATATTATTCTATAGTTAAATATTCTACAATTCACGCAATAATACAAATTTACAAATTATATGTTTAATAGAAAGCTATTAAATATAAATGTTTTGAATTACCATAAAATCTCATTTTTCCTTTTCTTTATTTTTTCTTTTTTTTAAATAAGTGGGCAAATATGTATATATAATATATATATATACAATAATACATTTTATCTTAATAATAATAATATGGTATTTATAAGTAATACATTACTAAAATATTTAATTTTAACACTTAGATTTCCGTTAATTTCAGTATAATTATTATTAAATCTATAATGTATTTGTTGTATATGCATAATTTATAACATTTAGATCACTGTTTAATACCGTATATATAAAACAATTATATAAACAATCCGTTAAAAATATGAAACATTGTGTTTTTATATAAAATATCTTATAACTATAACTTTACAAAAATGAAAAGTCATATAAAAAATTTCATCAACTATTCATTAAAAATAACTGTTTTTTGGGAAGTTTTATATTTGTTAAATACAAATATTGTTAAAAAACAAAATAAAACATAACATTAAAATGTCATTAAGATTTAAAATATTCATCTATTTTGTCTAATTTTATTTAAACTCAAAATCATGATTACACGTTATTATAATTTATTTGCAAAAATTTTAATTTTGAAAGTGTTTTACTATAAGCTCTTTATTATTAACATATGATTAAAATGTATTATTTTTTAGATGAAATTAAAATACACAAACTTCAGTGTAAATACTGTATATTATAAAATTGATGATTAGGTAAGCGATTCATTGAGTAAATGTAGTAAAAGTAAATTTCATGAAAGTGGATCTTAGATTGCATAAAAAGTAATATATTCATGAATTTAAAATATGTATTAAAATAAGTTTTTAGATATAAAGACTGGGGTTTTTTATAAATATTTTTTTCAAAGTGCACTCACTTTTTAATCTCAATTTAAGTACAATATTTTCTGCTACAAAAATCTTTAACTATAAAATTATTTTCAATGATTATATGCTTTTACTAAAAAAACATTTTTTCTACAAAAATAAACTATAWCTTACCTAAAATATTATTTTCTTTAAATGTTATTATACAGTATTAGATAACAATTTTAAAATTTAGTTTTTTGTTAAATATACATTAAGCTAAATTATTTCAACAAAAATATATTAATATATTTAAATTATCTTCAAACAAAATTTAAAAATTCATAAGTAATTAGTTTAAATATGACATTTTTATTTTATAATATGTTATAATAAGTATTTTTCAGTGATCAAGCTCACTTTCTTGGAATAATATTAAATAATACTAAATCATATATTTAATCATTTTTAAACTCTTATATTAATAATTTAGTTTTCATTTAATTCTTATATCTAATGTAGTGGATGTTATAATTACAAAGTTGTTATTTATTTAAAAACTCAAACAAAACTTAAAATGTTAAAAAATTAATGAAAATTAAATTATACATATAATAAAATGAATTTTATGATTTATTTAACTGATATTAAATAAACAAAGTTTTTAATTTATAGTAAATTAAAAATAATATCTTAAATATAATTTATGATTTTTGTCAAATTAAATAACTGAAGTAATAAAATGTAATGAAATATTCAATTTAAGCATTTGTTACTATTTTATGATTTGTCTGACGACAAGCATTTGTCGAGTACGGGACAGACAGGCATTTGAATCACTGAAATCAGTTCCTCATATATGTGACGATGAAGTTCTCGTATCTTATACACTGTATCTGATCTGTTTAGTGCACTATATATGGGATCAAATAGTAGATTGAATACAGATTCAGATATCAAAGAAGACATTAATATCGATAAATTGTCACTTTTATTGCTATAGTTTTCTTCAATCTTTTCCAGATCACTGTCAGACAGAGTCAATGTCTCATTATTGCTGTCATCAAATTCTTCATACTTTGATAGTTGTGAATCAGGTAATGATGTGACTGTTGTCACCAATGTTTCGGAAGATTTCAACAAATCTTCAGTTTTGGTCAAATGTATATCTTTTATATTTTTATTAATAGCCATATCCTCTGCAATTTTAGGCATAGATTTTGGCACAAATTCTTCAAAAATCACTTCTTCGACAGTTTCCTTCAATTGATTATTAGATAAAGAAGATGTATATTGTGGTTCATTATCTTTAGTCATCACTTTAGATTTCTCTTCAGATATTCTTAACATATTTTGTTGCATTTCTTGACATATTCTTTGGACAACAGTTTGATTTAATTTTTCAAAATAATCAATAATTTTTCTAATATTTGTCTTTGTGTGACCATTAATATTATTGTCTTCAATATTGCTGTTCAAATAAATTTTTTCTTTATAATAATCCAATAATTCATTGATAACATCACTTTGTGTCTCAGTTTGTGTTTTAAAGACTTTTAATTCTGGTTCGGATGGATATGTCATCAATGGAGTTGTTTGTGTTGTTTGAGTTGTCTGATGGCGTTTCTTCTGTAAATTTGTTGTCAACGATATATCTATTGGACATCTTTTTAAAAGTATTGAATAATCTTCATTGCATTCATTAATAATATCCAAATTTGATTTCATCTTTTGCTTATCCATTGTATAATCCATACAATTATTAGTATTCATTGACTCAATTACTTTATTTTCATTCAAGAGTTGATCAAAACATGAATCAATATAATTGATTCCTTTATGTAAACTATTTATAGCTTTATCTAAAAGATTGATATGAATGATATCTAATGAGACATTTGTTGTTTGTGTGGACTTATCAATAAAATAATCCATTTTTGATTTTAAATTACGTGAAGTCATCGATTTGCTTAAATTGTTTTTCATTTTGTTTTCAGTCCCAACTTTATTATTATCATTCATTCGTAGCAATGGCTTAACCAATGGATGCGCCCTTTTATAGAGTGGACGAGAGCTGTCCACTTCATCCTTAGACTCTAACAGATGAGTTGTCCGATTGYCGTATAACACCTCCAAGCGATTCAATTTCTTTTCCAAAACTAATGTTTTAAAGTCACTCGACTCGAGATTATAGCTAAACTTAAGACCAACGGAACCGTTTGATGTACTGATTGTATGAAACAAAGAATTTCTTGATTTAAACTCAAATTCTTGCCATACGTTGAGTTCAAACAAAATATTTTCAACTTTTGGATCATAAACTCGAATGACTGTCACATCTTTATTGGTGTCAACGATGAAACACAAGATATTCTTGTATTGTATTGTCCATTGAATTTGATTGTTTGCTTTTGACCACAACTGGATCTTTGATGTCAGCAATGAAACCCATTTCGGTGCTAAAGCTTTAAAAAGCTTTTTGTTCAACTCATCTGATAACAACACCGATGGTTTGTTTCTCACTATTTGAGTAATTGGTGGCAATTTCTGTGATTTRTTCATCATTTCCTATACATAGACAGATAAATGTGATCTTAAGTGTAACTATAATATTAAGCCAATAAAAAGTGTATTGTAATCATACAATCATTTATTAAATTTACATTTATTCAAAAATGTTATTCAATTTATTCATACATTCTGTTATATCGTTATTATATTTAAAACTACAAATAATTATCAATAATTATAAGGGGTTTTTAATATGTTATAAATTAATTATATGGATTGTCCTTTTAAATTATAAGTTATAATACACTCATAATTTACAATATTATTTCATATATGAATATTATTCTAAATTTGAACTTGATTCAAAAATCTACTTGGCAATAAGCTAGCACAGTTTAAATAACTTTAATAGCAATACCATCTATAGGCAAGTTATATTACATATCAATTTACTATACAAAATAATAATTATATTATTTATAAATTTTTTACATAAAAATAGCATATAAAATAATTTATAACAAATATTCAAATTAATTTATTTTTTCTGTAAAATATTTTTTGTTATATCCTATTAAAACAATCAGAATCTTAGTTAAAAAAATAWTTTTTTTATAAAATATTCTTTCATTAACTTAACCATTGACTATAATGTATTTACACATTATTTATAAATATTTATAGCATAAAATACTTTCTTTTTTAATATACAATATAATAAGTACTAAATCTTATATTTAATACCATTAAAAAAGCATCTGATAATTATAACAACTTATTTTTATAATATTAATACAAATAATTGCATCCATAGATTAGTACTCGTCATCTTCGGGAACATCCAAATAGATGTCATATGAATCACGAATACAGGAGCCGTCGGCACTAAAGTTATACTTATGGAAGGATCCGTCCACACAAATGGCATAAACGGAGTTGTTTTGGCCAAAAGCACAAATACAGGCGCATTCGGCAGCAATTGTGAACTTAGCTAAAGCCCACTGCGAATCGACATATTGGTGGGCGAACCCCATTGATGAAAAAGTTGAGCGCCGATTCAGATGAGTGTCTCTTAAAGCAAATATATGAACCGTTCCCTTATCACTGGATACAACCAGAAAGTCAGAGTCGTGTGAAAATGCAATACAATACAGAAGAGCCGGATCGGCGCCTCTTCGAAGTTCGACCACTTGTGTGCGTCTTTGGGTATCAAATACTCTAATGAGAGTCCCTTTGAGTGAAGCAGTGGCCACCAGTGTTGCCGACTTATTCAATGCCAAACATGCTATCTCTGATTGATGAGCGGCAATATTAATTGGTGGCGATGACCGACCGGGTTCAGTATGGTTTAAGTCAAGCAAGTGAACTGATCCAATCTTATGCCCCGGAAAGACAAGTAGTTGTTTTTCAGAGCTGATATACGGACTAACTTCACACAAACCAAATCGATTATCTCGGGTCTCAATTGTAAACAGCTTTTGAGGTGAATTGGGGAATGAAAAGCAATGTATGCCATGTCTTTCAACTACTATTATACGGTCACGTCGTGTCCTCACCGATATTACGGGTGTCGAGAATGTCAGTTCCAACACAAACTTCTTGAGCGAGTCGTCCCAAATGAGGACCGATCTCTCGGAATATCGTTGATTTGAACCGCCGGCTACTAATGCCATCAGATTTGTTCGATGAAGTAATTGGCAAATGGCTATTGAACCCAACTCTTTGGGATCTTCAAGATTGGTCTTCACCATCAATGGCTCCAAATTAAAGACTTTGAGTCCCGTCTCCATACATGCAGAGAACAGACTGTGCTCTTCATTCATTGATAGCGACAATATGTCTTTGCGAGACATCATTGCACACATTGGTATTAAATCATATGATATATATCTACAAAATATGGATCAGTTGTCAGTTTTGGATATTCAAAGACATGTTTGGACTTATCATTGATTGCAACAAAACATTTACTTCAATCACATTATATTATAACGCAATACAATATTGTTTACATATACTTACAGTTTATATCATATAAAGGCAATGCATTATAATATACAGATATATCAATAAATACACTGTTATAATGATTTTAATGATTTAAATAAGTAAATATAATAATTATAATTAAAATGTTGGTCAATATTATCAATGATTTATGTCAATTATAATTGTTAATTGATTGTTATAACTTAATGAGTTGAACCGTAAGCATATGTGATGATCACAAGTGAGTAGTCTATACTGTATTGCATTGTTATGTATATTGTGTTAAAGTATTGTTAGTATTGACTGATATGTTATCTCACTGTATGTGTGTATGTGTTATGAGTTAAGGCATGCGTGAAGCCATTGATATCAACGTTAGACTCATATTATGATACATTGGATGCCATTATTTGGTGAAAATTATTAACAAAACACAATACGAGTCAATAGTAATACTCATATGTAATGAATGATTGCATACAAACACTAATTAAATAACAACTGAATGCTAATCATAAGTCATATGCTATCGACACCAACACATTGATGACCAACTAATACATTGACTGTTCAACTCTTCAGACTAACAGTGTCTTCAAACAGACCATTGATTTACAATTATTATAGAGATTGATTCAACAAAGCCATCAAAAACGGATCCCAACGGTTCTCACATACGGCTCAAGTCAAACAAATTGTCGGACATATTGTCCTCATCACGACTGATCACTTTGTGGACATTACTTGTGTTGGCATCACTTGTGATGAAGAGAAGAAATGGTGATTTGTCTGGAGCTAAACTCAGACATCGGACCAATAAGAAGAGCAAAATTGCCGATGGACTCAATCAAAGGTATGAATTTTGACCACAACTGACCAAAAATGAGATGATTATCGACACAAACATATCATATGTCTATAACATTTGATAACTTGAATTGATATGATTTAATTAGTGGACAACACACGTACACACGTGTATTGATTACTTATTAGTTGATCATATGGTTATCAAATAGGAGATCACAAAAATCTTAATCAATAATCTATTAATTTTAGACAATATTTACTATTATTATATAACACAAACATTATTAATGAAATTCAATAGTTTAGTTAATTTGATTGTACTATAACTTAGATGACAATACTGTCAAACATAATAAATAAAATCTAAAAATAAGATTTGCCGACAAATTAATGAATGTCTGTATTTTGTATGTTACCGATGATGACTATCAGTCCATTCATTTATGTGAAATTTTTTCTGGTGTGGGCTCTGGTACTTCTCGCTGACTTTATTGTCGAGTTTCGCTTTGAATATTTGTGGCCATTTTGGCTACTATTGAGAAGTGTTTACGACTCATTCAAATATCAAGGATTGGTATGTTTTGTAGATTTGAAAGTAAAATGATTGAAATAATTAAATGATGATCTGATTGATAACTTTGTATGATTTCAGGCATTTTCGGTATTCTTTGTATTTATAGCGTTGACGTCTGATATGATATGTTTCCTATTTATACCGGTTCACTGGCTATTTTTTGCGGCCAGCACTTATGTATGGGTACAATACGTTTGGCACACCGAACGGGGCATATGTCTGCCTACAGTATCTCTTTGGTTACTTTTTGTATATATAGAAGCATCAGTTAGACTCAGAGAACTTAAGAACTTACCATTTCATCTGGACCTCTGTCGACCCTTTGCCGCCCATTGGTATATCATTTGTCAAAATTGTTGCATATTTTTCATTAACAATTTAACTATAGTATCGGTTATCCTGTGGTCACATTGGGCTTCGGATTCAAGTCATATGTTAGTTACCGAATGAGGTTAAGAAAGCAGAAAGAAGTAGCAAAAGAAAACGAGTTTTATTTGGAAATTCTTCAGAAAGCCTTACCACAAGAGGCACCACCACCTCCTGCCCCCAGTTTGCCCGTCGATACTGAACTCATACAAAGCAATGGCGTCAATCATTGTGCTCCTAATCATCAAAAGAAGTCGAGCATCAGTTCAACAAATTCTGACAAATCTTTGATATTAAGCAATGGATCGACCAATAAATTAATTACAGATTACGACTCAACAAATAAGAAAACAATGTCTAATGGCATTGACAAGTATGTGACTATTTTATCATTTTTATTATACCGGTAATTAAATAATAGTTACCGGTAGTGACCATTTAATTCAATTTATATATATTAATATTAATGTATTATATTTATAATAATTTATTATAAACGAAATGAATATCATGCATACATATCACGCATTTTCATTACAAAAATTGATAATTTTTATACAATTCATTTAACTTAAAATATTTGACATATTTTCTAAAAAGAAAAAGTTAAATTAGATTTAATATTTTTTCAATATATGTTTCTAAACATTACAAATTGAATAGATATAAAAATTGTTTTTACATGGATATAAATTTTAAAAATTAATATATTGATAATTTAATTTCAGATTTCATAAAAACTTGATTAATATTATATCTCTTATTTGTATTTTGATAAATATATGCAATTTATTTTTTAAATAGAATTTCTATTATATTATAATTATTATTATTATTATTATTATTATTAATTTAAAACGAATAAAAGATCAATGTTTATATAGCATTTATATAGTAATTATTCTATATTAACGATAGTTTTTATATATATGTTATTTGAATAACTTGTTGAACATATGCTATACATTAGTTTAAATGAAAATAACTATAAATGAAAATATTTAAATGAAAATATATATCAATTTTTTATGGGAATAAAATAAGATATAAATATCTGACTGTTTCACTAATAACACTAAATACAGTATATTTAAGTTATCTTATAATTAAAGTCAACAAATGAATTGACTTACATAGATGTATATTACTGTATATTCCTTATTATATTATGTACATGATGATTTTGCAATTATTATAGTAATTGATCATGTGCACAATATATACAAATATATATATTGCTAATTCATATTTATAGCATTTTATTAATGATATATTTTCCTATAAAATGTAAGGAATACTAATGGTCTAAGTTTTTTGAATATATTGATGTAGTTTACCTAATATTAAGCATTAAAAAAACTGTATTTTCTACTGTATTACACAATTTTTAAGAAATTATTAATTTAATATTTTTAGATATAATTTACTTATAATAATATAATTATGATAACATCATATATATAATCAATATTAATTAGCATGTTTGAATTTGTCATTTTATTAAAAATAATATAACATACTATTTAATTAAGACTTAAATTTAATTAATTATTAATAAATTTAATTTAGCATTATATGTTGAAATTGATTGAATAATATTATAATTTATTATTATATTGTTATAATATTAGAAATAACTATAAATGATTATTTATTTATAGACATGAATTACAATATATGGAGACACAGATTATCAAAAAGCCAACAAATCATTATGAGAATGACGACGATGTCGATGATATAGTAGAGCATAACAACAGTACTAATAAGACTCATATGAAAAACATAACAACACTTACAAACTCACCGAAAGGCACAAACATAGCCAACCTCTCGATGAGTTCACCCTCAGCGGTGTCTCATACAAACCAGACATCCAATAACAGCAAATGGACTCATAATAACCTTAATGTGTCCAATGTTTCCGTTGCCAGCAATCAGTGCTCACCAAACACTAATTCTTCAAATAACAACTCTAACAGTAATACTAATACTAATAATAGTAATAGTAATACCAATAAAAAAGCCAAAAATATAATCGCCAACAATTTGTTACCCGTTAAGGATGAGCACACACTCAGGTTTGATATATTTAATACAATATACAGTATTACCGATAATATTGATAACAAAATAATGTTTGTATAGATTGGAGGCAGATATCAAACGTTTAAAGGCTGATCTTCAAGCATCCCGTCAACTAGAACTTGATCTTCGATCTCAACTTAATTCAATCATTGTTGACGAAAGATCAGTAAAGAATGAGTTAACACAACTACGTCAGGACAATGAAAATCTTCAGCAGAGACTCCATAATTTGGTTACAGCCAAACAACAGGACAAACAAACTATTGTTAAGTTAGAGAAATATTTAGATGAGGAGAAAAAGCGCCTCAAATCTAATCTCGAGCTTCAAATAAATAATGAAAAGAAGGCCAAAAAGGCTGAAGAAGTGGCGGTTCGGGCCGCGGCTATTGCAGCCGCCAATAGAGCCGAGTGTTCGGAGACATGTAAAGCAAAAAGAAGGGATTTGGAGAATGATCTCAAACAAGTGCAACACGAGTTTAAACTTAAAGATGAACAGCTCAAGCAAAGCGAAAAAGTATTATTTTATTATTTATTACTATTTGTTTATCTCTTTATTATAATTTATTTCTTTTAATTTTCATAGGCTTTGCGTCAATATAAGAACTCACACGAAGACCACGAAGTGCTTATGTCTGCACTATCGGCAATGCAGGAGAAAAATTCACACTTAGAGAAAAATCTAAGCGCAGAAACAAGACTTAAATTGGATTTGTTTTCAGCATTAGATGAGACTAAACGGCAATTGGAAATGGCCAGAAGTATTATATCATTTACCATTATTTGATAATAATAATAATAATATAACCATTTATTGTAGTGATATTACTTCAACGTGAGAAAGAAATTGATGAGTTGAAGTCGAAAATTGCTGAAGTGATGGCCGTAATGCCGACCTCACCTAATGGCAGTTATGGGAGTTTAGCTGATAACGTATCTCTTGTAAATAGTTTACTGCCTGTCTTTGGACATAACCATAATAACCATAACCACAACCACAACCACAACAATCACAATAAATATCTTCAATCGTCTATAATAGACGACCATATGTCTAACACTTCACCACTGGATCCCAATGCTTCTATATATACTCCCAAAGTGGGTTCACCTGATCTCTAGATATCTGATGACAACCACAACAATACATTAACGAGTTATTTATTTGTAACTATAACTCAATTGTAAAAAATTGGTGTTAAATGTCGATAAAATTATTGAAAATTTATTTATAAATTATTTCCTTTTCTCCCAAATGTTTTGCTTTTTTGGAAAACATTATTTTCCCCCAAAAAACTAATGACTGAAAATATTTGACACATTTAACCAATTATTTATGTTTTTGAACAATAAATGCAATTTGTTCACATTATGTCAATTATTTTAAGTTATTTAATTATTTTGTTTCAGCACTTTCATTTACAATATGTGCATGTTCATTTATATAATTTTATTTATTTTCATTTGAAAAAATCGAGATAATATATTAATTTAAAATTTGTTTTGTTGTTATAACTTATAATCATAATTCTTTGAAAACATATAAATCGTTATATATTTCAATCAAATATCTCAGTCATGCATTTACTCGATTCCTATAAGCCTTTTATTGTCAAATTTAGAAATTCGCAAAATTGTTTGTTTCAATTGTTTAAACTGTATATTCGTATATATATATTGATAATGTGATGAACAAAAAAAAAGTAAAATATTTTGAAGATATTTGAGTCAATTAGAGGAACAAATATTCACTGAATAATGATTGCCATTTGATATAAACTACTTAATTACAGAATCCAATTATATACATATAAAAATTAATTAATAAAACAGTGTTATTTGATAYATATAATATGCATGCAATTAACAACTTTTTAACAAAAAATAATACTGTATTGCATTGATAAACAAAACATTACCGATAAATATTGATATTACCGCAATATTTTAAATTATGAGCTGTCTTTCAATATAAAATTTATACCGTAATACTTATATTAAATACAAACTAAGTGTTCCCAAATTAAATATTTAATAATAATGTATTCTATAATAAATATAATTTATATGCGATAAACACTACTATCGGTAAATAATATGTGAATTATATATTTAAAATGTCTTAAATAATGTGTCCGATAATAACAGATAAATTCGCTTACTTTTAAATGTAATACTTTTGACAAAAGAAAATTCAAGTAAATTACTACTAATTTAAATAAACAACTCTTTGCATAGAATTTTATTAAAAATATATAATTTAAAAACTAATAATATATTATTCAATTAAATTACATTAAACACAATTGATGTGGACATTTAGCTTTACGCTTAATAACAATTAAATAATTACAATTGATATCTAGGTTTTTGGTGAAAATGATACAAATCTGGACACCGGATATTAAATAAATAAAAATTCGGTAAATAAATGTTATTCAATAAAATCTAAGTTTTAGTTGTAATTAGCGTTGATTTAGCCAATGATTTCAATTGGTTTAAACGTTTATTTTCTAAATATTGTAAACATTTGGTCAAACGCTCTCTTTTATTAGCAATAAATAAATCTAAATCAATGTCATCGCTGGCCATCCATTCTTCTTGCGTCTGTTTGTCTTCAATAGACTTCAACCTTAATTGGTGCTTATGTTTTGCAGTTTCAGAAAAACTACAGTTTCTCTGATAATAAATAATAGCAGAGAAAAGATCCCAAATTGTAAATTCAGGCCATAAAACATTTGCAAAAGCAATCACTGAATAGTTTGTTTGCCACAATAAGAAGTCACTCAGTCGTACTTCACCAGAGGTGCGAATCAAAAGATCGGGTTCTGATGAGTGATTGGAATACAAGAACTGAGAAATAAGTGATTCAGTTATATCTGAYTCTTTGATTATATCATTTTGTACACAAGTCTGCAACTCTTGTAATGCATTTGTGATCTCATGACGTGAAGAGTAAGAAATAGCGATATTTAATACTTTTTGTGTATTGTTTTGAGTCGACAGTTCAACCTCTGCCACCAATTGCTGGATATCTGGTCTCAATAGAGTTAAGTCACCAAAAAATCGGATCGCTTTACCCGTTTCGTTAAGATTGTCCTTATCTTGTAATAACTTGTGAAACAATTCATTTGCGAAGTCCATTAAATTGTTAACTTCTTCATCTGAACGCTTGAAGTTATCGATGGCAAAGGCATAGACTGTTACCTCATCGACACCCAAATCCAGACACCACTCAAGCATTTGAGTCATTCTCTCAAAACCTTGTTTGTGGCCATCAATGGTCGATACGGCAGACTTACGGGCGTAACGCCGGTTGCCGTCCATAATAAAGGCCACGTGTCGGGGAATCGGTCCGCACTTCAAAACATTGATGCAAACACTTTCAACAAATGATCGTTTCGTCTGTTTGAACCAAGACATCACTGGATCTGTTTGTTCAACACTAAGATCACAGTGTCTTTACCAACACATTCATGTCATGTCATCACTAATACAAACAGTCATAACATTTAGATTCATAACATTAACCAATACTTAACACACGTTACATACGAACATACATTCATCACATATTCAAATGCATAGATTGTAGCGAATATATACATACAAATGTAGTTAATATGTATTACTGCTGTCATCCTGTTTAAGCCCCGCCTCTCTCTTGCATTGACAACTGTAAAGTGAGACCGATGTCAATATAAATAACAAGATATATAAATATGAACATAAATTACATAAATAAAAATAGTTTTATATATTGTATTAAATATAAATAAATTTAACATTTGGGACAAACAAAGCACTAGACGTACATTATGTTTGAATATTTGGTATTTCCTTTAACACCAATACTCTAGTGTTAAACAATTGACTGAATGTATTATAGGCTATAGTACTGTACTGTAAGCTATAGTATGTATAACACAGTAATTTCAATGTACTGTAAATTATAATACAATTGATTGTATAATTAATTTCAATATATTTGTCATTAAAGCCGCTAAATATGAATTTAATTACAAACTTTCAAATTTATGACATTATATAAGACAATCAAACTATAAGGCATGCAATTAGTTAAACATAAAACAGGTTTGTCCTATATTTGGGCGCCAATTGACAAATAATAGCACAGTTAGTGACCACTTGACTCAATTTGTGGCCAAACTGTCCGATCATATGTTGGTTACGGCAGACGCTATGCCAGACATGTGTTGACCAGTCATTGAATGAGAGTATGAGAGACATAACACATGCAATGCTATGTCTATTGACTGCTATATTATATACTTAAATGAAAAAAGGTTTGTGTTGTATGTATGGAGTGTTGACTGTATTATAAGTGCCAACCATTTTGCTATATATTGAGAGCAATGCTTAAGCAATACATTGAATGCTATGTTATGCGTACAGTAGAGTCACTATTGAGTGCTTATGATTGCTATGATATGCTATGATTTCTATTATATGTATTGAGTATTGAATTGCAATCAAATGTATAAAATTGCGAACAAAACAGTGAAACTCAATGACTGACTGCTTATGATATGACTCTTTGATTCAAATATCTTCATCTTATGGTAGCTCTTGAAGTGACCAAATGATTGCATGAATTTATAAGACAATACCAATTGAAGTGATTGTGACCACTATTGTGTCGACATGTCTTCGTCGTCGACCATAGAGTCAGGTAAGACATGACATTACCAATGAATGCATTTGTTTTGGTTGTGTTGTCTATCAATCGATGGTCTAATTGGATCTCTTTGTGGACTTTGTAGAGCTATACTACTTAGTGACCAAATTCCTCGAGTGTGGTCCATGTCAAGGGTCGGCTCAACTGCTCAAACAAGAGATTGAAGACAATGGACTTCTGCCTCAACGATTTGATTGGATGGGTGTTCAACATGTGACCACATTTACCGATATTGACCGCAATAACTCACATATATTACCGAATCATTTGTTTCGAATTGTCGATCGAATCAATAAGTTATTGGAAGTGGTGTCACCTCCAGCCGTGACCGGAATACAGTCGCTTCTCGGCAATGGTCGTCAATCGCTTCTTCGCGATTTTATCAATAAAGTAGATCCAAATCTCCGATATAATAGTTCATCTCATTTGACTGCCTTTAGAAATGGCGCCCAATTGTTGCCTTCTGCCCAACAACTGGTCAGTCATCCATTCAATGCTACGCTATCACTGATCGCGCGGCAAAACAGCGGTCCATTAACTCATAAGCAACTGTTGCCCTCAAAATGTTACGATAAGTTTATTAGATGTAAACGACTTTTAGGACATTTATCATCAGTATATTGTGTCTCATTTGACCGCACGGGTCGCTATATAATTACGGTAAGAGACCATGAAATGACATTTTTACTCTATTATTAAATATATATGTTTATATCTCTTAGGGCGCCGATGACTCTCTCGTTAAGATATGGTCAGCAGCTGACGGCCGTTTATTAGCTACACTTCGCGGTCATATCAATGAAATTACAGATTTAACGATCAATTATGAGAACACATTAATAGCTGCCGGAAGTTGCGATAAAATGATAAGAGTTTGGTGTTTAAAAACAACTGCTCCCATCACTGTTCTTAACGGTCATAATGCACAGATAACTTCGGTTAAGTTTTGTCCGCTCGCTCGCGATGACAACCGATATCTTGTTTCGACAGCTAATGACGGATGTGTCTGTTTTTGGAGATATAATGCATCGACTAATGAGTTTCATACACAACCCAAGAAATTTATTGAACGCCATAAGCCGGGATCACAACTTGTTTGCTCTTCATTTTCTAGTGGCGGTGTTTTTCTAGCCGTCGGCTCTACAGATAATTATCTTAGAGTATACCACGTGACAGCACCAGCCGGTCCCACAAAGATATTGGAAATAGAGCAACACTCGGATCACGTGGATTCACTTCAGTTCAGTAATTTGAGCACTCGTTTTGTGTCGGGAAGTAAAGATGGTGTGGCACACATCTGGTATTTTGAACGACAACACTGGCATAACATACCACTTAAAATGAATGAAAGATTGCCCGGAACTGCTCCGCCTACCGATGAAATAACTCGTAAAGTGAAAGTTTCAATGGTTGGCTGGACTTGTGATGACGTCCACGTTATTACATCATTGAGCGATCACTCGCTAAAAGTTTGGACATCACAAACGGGACAATTACGACATGTGCTCTATGGACACGAAGATGAAGTATTTGTAATTGAAGCTCATCCTAAAGATAGTCGAATATTTTTATCCGGAGGTCATGACGGAGCTATTATTTTATGGGATATCATATCAGGCAATGCCATCAAAACCGTATGTTTTCAACTTATATATATTGAATATTTTGTCGGTTAATCAATAAGATATTTAATAGTTAATTTTAATTGAATTTTTTCAAATAGTTTTACAACTCGATTGATGGTCAGGGTCACGGGGCTGTCTTTGACTGCAAGTTTTCTCCCGATGGACTTATGTTTGCTTCTACCGACAGTCACGGACATTTATCCTTCTTTGGAATGGCCAGTGCTGAACCATATAAGAAAATACCAGATCAAGTATTTTTCCATACAGACTATCGCCCAGTTATTAGAGACGCTAATCATTATGCAATTGATGAGCAAACTCAATGTGCACCACATCTTATGCCACCACCTTTTCTGGTGGACATCGATGGTAATCCTTATCCACCGAATTATCAGCGACTCGTTCCCGGAAGAGAAAGTTGTTCCGACTCTCAACTTGTCCCATATGTGGCCGTACATAATGCTAACGGAAACGGTATGTTTATTGCAATTTTTTTTGTATTTAACAATTTGGTATTATTATAGATGTGGCTGAAGTATTAGCACCCGTTGAAATGCCAGGTGAACCTCAACCTCCACAGCCATTAGTAGTATCACCTCCACCCCTCCCACATCAACTCCGACCAACTATTGATGATATGATTCAGAGGTTGCAACGAGAACAGCAACGTTTAACTCACGAACACGATTATACAGCTCAGCCACCGGCAGGCTATTTAAATAGAGAACAACTAAATCATTCACCGCGTGCTCGACACGCGTCTGGACAAAGAACTGCTGGTTCCCGACGGGCCGGTTCTGTTGAAGGGGTTCGACAGGCAGAGAATTTTATGTCACGAGATCGAGAGCTTAATCAAATAGTACCGATTTGGGCGAAGAGAGTAATTGTGAGACCATTAAAACCAAGTGAAGCAGAAACGGCTAAAAAGAAGTTTATAGAATCGGCTGAAGCAGAAGAAATTTTTTTCACTAAAGAACGTAAGAAACGCCCTCAGGTTGAAGACTCGTCTGTTAGTCTTAAACTTGCCATTAAAGAGGAAAGATTTACCAGAAGAAAGCGGAGAATTATTCAACAACGACAAGGTGTCAGACAATCAGGACTTCGAGAACGATATGCGAGACGAACTGAGAATAGACATCGTAATGGTATTACTGATTATGAAAATCCTGAAGATCTTAGCGATGATAGCGATAGTGATTATACTGGAGATCGCGAATGGGCTGAATTGTCTGAGTCCGAGTCTACCAGTGAAGAGACTGAAGATTCAGAATGGGATACTTGTTTGCCCACCAATTCTAGAATAAATCGACGACACAACTCTTCTGGTAGTGAAGGAGAAGAAGCAGAGAGTGGCGAAAGAGTAGAAAGAGCACAAACTTCTATCGGTAAAAGAGTTACTAAAAAGGAAGCTAAGAAAATGAAAGAACGATTAAAACGGAGTCAATTGGAAGAGAAATACAATTCATTCAAAGAACTTCCCGAAGAGTTTAGACCTCCGGGTATGTGTTTGAATAGATATATATTTATTGACAAACTAATGCATTACTATTTGATTATTGAATATTTTCCAATAGATTGGTTTACTGATGTTAATCCTAAAAAGACGCCATATTTTCCACAAATTGGTGATGAAGTGTATTACTTTCGTTCAGGACATCAGCATTATATCGATACTGTGCGACAAAATAAGATTTATATGATTAACCAAATGCTTAAACCACATAAACCAAGGGGTTGTCAAAGCGATGAAGTTTTAGCCAAAATTATTGATATTAAATTTGATGTGAAACCTCCTCGTCTGGTGACACTTAAACTCGTTGTTTTGGATGAAGAGACCAATGAGATAACAAACTCACACTTTTCGTTTAGATATCATGACATCGAAAATGTTGTTGACTTTGTTATATTGAGACAAATTTATGATTTGTCGCTCAGCCGAAAATGGAAAGTAGGCGATGAGTTCCGCTCAATAATTGATGACAAGTGGTGGTTCGGAACAATTGAATGTCTTAAAGAGTCGCAACCGTTCTCACACTTTCAATGTTTTGAAGTTAAGTGGGCCAATGGAGACAATGATTTCTTAAGTCCGTGGGATTTAGAGCCTATTGATGAAGAGATAGCACCCGAAAATCGTACCGAAAGTGCCGCCATAACTAGTGATGAAAGACTTTTATTTAACTACTTTAGAGAAGATGAATGGCCTGAATGTGGTCGAGAAGAGGAGTGTCAAAGAATTCTTGACGGTTGGATTATTTAGTGATTTTTCAAATATTATAAATTAGTTAATTATTTATTAAATTATTGTTTTTTGTTGATAGGATTTGTGCGAATTATGGAGTCATCCCATGCCGAAGAGTTCTTAGCTCCTGTAGATCTCAATCACCATCCAGTCTATGGAATGATGATTTCATATCCAATGGATTTGTCAACAATAAAATCACGACTTGAAAACCGCTTTTATCGTCGAGTCGATGCTATTAAGTCTGATTCCAAGTTTATTGAGTTTAACGCCGAGGCCTTTAACGAACCGGGCAGTGATATCGTTAAAAAAGCTAAACTGATAACTACTCTTATCTTGCGTTTCATTGATGATCAACATTGTTACGATCCGATGCCTATATATTTAGATCTCATTGCTAATTATGAACAATTCGAAGAAAAGACGGCCACAGAGGGAGAGACTGCTGATGAAAGAGAAGCTCACGAAACACGACGTTCATTGAGAAAGAAGAGACGCGTATGTTATCAAACATTTTATCATTTTTAAAATTTTAATAAAAATTGTTGTTTTTTATTGTATTATTGATAATAGCGGTCAAGATCTGAATCGGATGCATCTGATGGTCCATCAGCTTCACGAAAGAAACAAAGACAYACATCATATCAACGACCGAAGTCATGGAAACAGAATTGTCTTGAATTATTAAATTATATTCTAGAACGTGAAGATTCATCACCATTTAGATCACCAGTAGATCCCATACAATATCCTGATTATTCTCAAGTAATCGACACACCTATGGATTTAACAACAATTAAAGAACAGCTAATTTCAGATCTTTATGATTCTCCAAATGAATTTTGTAAAGACATGCGATTAGTTTTTACAAATTCTAAATCATATAATACTAACAAAAAGTCTCGAATATACGCAATGACAGTACGACTGGCAGTACTTTTTGAAGAGAGAACGAGAAAAATTATATCTGATTTTCGATCAAATTGTAAATATGAATCAAATCTTAAACGAGGAATTGTTAGTCGACGCCGTAAACCATTGCCAATGTCACCCATTTCTAACACACGATCACCAAATAAAAGACCAGTCAAACGGTAATTATACGGTACTATGAATTGTTGTTATAGTTTAATATATCTATAATTTATTTGTTTTAGTTCGAGAAGAGCCTTATCATCATCACTGTCACCCACTTTTGATTTGAGTGCTCCGTCCACTTCGGGTTATTCAAGTCGAAGTAAGTCTAGTCTAAATCAGGGTCAAAGTGGTTCCAAAAATGGTCTCAATTCACCGAAAAAGAAGAATAGAAACAATTCTATTAATAACAATAATAAGCTAAACTTTAGGTCATTAAGAAGTACAGACAATGTACTCAAGAAGAATAAAGTGAATGCCAAAAATAGCCGAAAGATTCGGCGAAAAGTTGATAAAAGTGCTTCGAGATCGAGAAAAGGTCGAAAACGTATTATCAAAGACGATACGACTGAAGATGATGAAGAAGATATCAATAATGACTCACACGATGATCACGAAGAGAATGTCGAAGACGAAGATGAGACTGAAAAAGAAGGTAACATCGATGATGACGATGACTATGTTGTCGATGAAGAGGCCGTCAGTGAGGAGATTGTAAATCATTTCAATAGTGACACAGAGGTCGAAGAAAGCGAGAACGGTGTACATCCTAATGATTCTGATGCTACGGAAATCGATGACGAAACTGATGCTCGGCCTCGAGCTTCCGGTTTACGGTATGCTATTGTCTAATGAGAGCGCCGGTGACGGTGTCTTATGGTAATTGTCATTATGCTTATTGGTTTGTTGGTTGGCTTTTATTTAGACGTCGCAAGAAGTCGATGAGGAACTCGTTCTCTTCTGAACACAACTCATATACACTGCAAACTCGACGGTCAGACAGAACAATGGGTGTGTTATCTCGGAGGGCAAGACTGAAGGCTTCTGAAGAAAGCGAATCAACTCAATCATCGTCTGTATGTCATTCAAATGATTCAAATCATTCAAACTTTAGTAACGAATCGGCGACCGCCACCTCATCCATCAGTCAAATGATTAGTGAAGAATCGGAAAGTTATTTGTCTAATGAAAGTTACAAATCAAGTTCGCGACGAACTTCGAAAAGACGGCGGTCTATAAACACTAAATGGACGGCTGATTATGAATCGGGAGAAGATTTAAGAAGAGTTAGTTTAGGTCTAAGACGTAAAGTCAACACTAGTAGTAGATATGGTATCGACTCAAGTGATTCACCAATTAAAGACTCAATCAAGACTCGGTCCAGAAATAGCGGTAAAAAAAGAGTTCGATATACTGAGGTTGGCATCGATGAAGAGGACTTCGAGTACGACAATCGGTCGGCGCCTCATCTCAATGAACACTCTGTTAGCAGTCGGGGCAGAGTTCGTAAATTCAGAGCACACGCCCGCTTCACAAACACTGCCTAAACATTGAGTAAAAAAATATTAATTTAATATCTAATTATTAATTATTAATATACACCAATTAATTATAAGTTTATTATTAATTTAAAATTACTATAAAAACTACAGCAAATACTATTTCAAGTTTAAAGTAATTAATTCACTTATCGCCTCAAAAGCTCATAAAAAATCATTAATTGATTGTATACTTTCATCGATACCATAAACTGTTTACAAATTAAACTTATATTTACCAAATTGATTGAGTGAATGGATAAAAAATGTGATTAAAATCAAACACTCAATCAACCAATTTATTATATTATTAATTTTAAATTTACTTGAAACCCACTGATTATATTATATATATATATAAAATAAGCTTTATTATTGTCTTATAGTTTAACTATTATTGAAAAAAATTCATTAAGAATAATTGTAATTAAATTTTTATAGATATTTAAAATAAACATTTATTCAGTATTTATATACAAATTTATTTGTAATTTGTTGACTAATTCACAATATAACTATATTATTAACACCACTATTATAAAATTAACAGTAATCTAAATTAATAAAACAAACAAAATCTAAATTCGATTACATTAATAATTTATTGTTAAAAGTAAAATAAATACTAAAATTTTATAGAAAAAAAAATTATGTATAGATTTCTCTTGAGTTCCAATAATCTTTAGTTTGCATTTCAGTGATTCGAGATATGGTTCGCTCGAAAGCAAATACCTCTTCCTGACCGCTGAAGATATTTGCTTTTGAGTGTTCCTATAAGTGATGCAATTAATGATTATAATAAATGATTCAAACTTTAAATTACCGGTAATTAAAAAAATTATCAATACTTACACTTCCCAATTGTATGCCTAAATCATCCATAAGTTTGCGGCTTTCGTCCTCCAAATCTAATTCATGGCTTATTTTATCGGTTAAGAACAGTTGGTTAGGAGGCACTTGTGCTGAGAACAGGACGCGAACTCTATTATCATATAATGTATCGATTAGTGTTATAAACCTTCGGCATTGAGTTTTCTTCAATAAATTCATTTGTGGTATATTTCTTATAATTATTGTATGGAACAGTTGAGACATCATTAGGTAATCAATGGCACCCAAAGGCTATAAAATTAGATAATATATGGATGAGACATATAATGCCATATATTGTAACTAAAAGACTGTAACTACTGACGCGATCACACAGTTCATCAAAAGTACAATCAGCTATTCGGCCGCAAGTCTTGGCAAATGTTACGTTACGTTCTTTGATTGTCACTGTTTTTGGTCTAATCGTGTCGTTCTCACGACTCGACAATATTTTGAACATTCGTTGCAATTCTTTTTCGGCGTCTTCTTCTATACTGTTAAACAAAAAATTTTACTTAAAATACAGTATTAGTCAGTATATAATCAAATTGTTATCAAATTATTAATTTTACAGAAAATAAATTTGTTTGGATGGCAATGATTTCTGTCGATAATCTATTCCAGAGTCCAATGATATTACATAACAATTATTCTTTAGTAAAGGAATAAATGGCAGAAAATTACTTCGTTGAAGACCATTGAGGTATAGATCTGTGAAATAAGTTAATCATATACAGTATATATACTGTATATCTATAGATATCAATAATTTTTTAAATAAATAATACCATCGGGATGTCTATTAGAAGTGGCCACCATTATAATGCCGTTAGCAAACAACTGGTTAAACAGCAATTTTAATATCATTGCATCGCCGATATCAGTGACCTGAAACTCATCCAAACATAATAAGTATGAATCGTCGCAAATAGACTGAGCGACACTTGCAATTGGATCAAAACGACGATCCGATTGATGTTGTTTCTTGAGCTTATGGACACCTGTAATCAATAAATGACACCAACTATTGTCACTATAAATGATGTGATGGTATGAGATATACATTGATTTAATCAATGAATGATTTACGGGTATGAAAGTCAATCATAAAAGAGTGGAAATGGACGCGTCGTTTGGAACTCGTGGCCAAACAACAGTTCTCATAGAAGAGATCCATAAGCATTGTTTTGCCGCAACCGACCGATCCGTACAAATAAAGACCTCTTGGTTTCTTGACTGGTGTTGACCACAATCGGCTCATAATTGTCTTTTTATCGGGTCTATAGTCCCTTAGTTTACGGTTCAGTTGCTCCAAGTGGTCAACTATTTCCCGTTGATAATTATCTTCTCTCAATGCATTTTTCTTAACGTTATTATCATAAATTGTGACCAAATTAATGTAATCGTCATTAGGATCACCACTTGATTTGTGTCTGCCTTTCAAATGAATAAATGAGTTAATATATTGAGGTGTTTGTGGTCTTACTGGATGTCCTCATAATGCCATTCATGTCCATCAAGTAGTTGTTAGTAGTTTTCAACAGACGTATCACATTTGTGACACTTGTGGTGCACTGTCTAACCATTGAAGTCGACATTACAATCAATAAATGTTATTAATTTATTAACAATTTATAAAACATTATATTATATGAAATACATTATACAGTATTATATGATAAGTCATAACATTGTAATCATTAAACACTTGACACACATATTGTATAACAGTTTTGTAATGCATTAGCAATACATCTGATAATAATATACTAAATAAAAGTCAAACATATTATGAAATGCCATAAATCAGAGCTATTTTATCAATGAATACAACATTTCTATAGTTTCCATAGCAATGCATAGCATAGAAAAGCATCACTTTATTCATCGATAGGTTTATTCACTCAATTCTGTATAGTATTGCCATATGTTTCGCATATAAACTATATATTTTGTGTCATATTTGATGACAAATATTTAATTGTTATATAAATTTACAAAATTATATTACATTATTGTTTGACAAATGGACGAAATATTAGGTAAAATAGTGTCTCAAAGCGAGACATCAAAGTTGTCGTCAATCACATCACTATCACATCAGGCATTAGGTCTGTCATTGAAATTCTTGAATTTTTATGTTTGATATTATCATTAAATTTATTTATATCTTAATTTAATTTATATAACTAAATAAAAATTATATATATATTATAATAATGAGTTATATATATATAATTAATTATTATTACCGTTATATAAATAATATTTGAGAAATATGCAAGGTGGTTTAAAAAATTTATTCTGTTAATCATTAATTTTAGAATATATATATTTTATTATATATTTTTGTAGTTTTAATAATTTTTTAATATAATTTTTTAATACTTTATACGATTTAATGTTATCACTTATTGTCAACAGAAATAATATGTGATAAAAGTTGTCTAATAAGAGTACCCATGGATGAGGTCAGACATAAATGCATACAAGTGTTCAAAGCATGTCTTGAGTGCCATAAAGAGACAAAACTGACACAATTGGCTGTCAATGGACTTCAAATAATTGTTAGACAAGACATCTATTGGGATGTTAGCTGTGAGTATATAATTAATTGGTATATTTGAACACAATTTTTATTTTATTTTTAAAAAGGTGATGAAGAAGAACAGCAATTGCCATCACAAGTAATACAATGTATATCATCAGTGATTCAGGCACTCAAAGAGCCGTCACAATTGGAACTGTTGTCCATTTTATTACAAATGATTTGTAATAAACCATCGATGATAATGATTGATAACATAAGAGATATCATTGAGATATGCTGTCAACTGAGCGCACAATCCAATCAAACCAATCAACTAAATGACTATTATTTGGGAATCGAGGCGACAGCCAGTCAATCGTGTCATCAATTCATCAAATATTGTCTTAACAACTGTGATAACAATAGTGATTATAATGATGAAGAAGTTGTTGAAGAGATCATTACATTGTTTAATGTGATTATAAATAAATTACAAGTTTTTAATCAAAACACTAACAGTATTGCAGTGCTTTTAAAATGCATTTATTATATCTTCATAACCATTCCTAACGATTCTCATATTATTAATGAAACGCTCGTAGATTTCATTTGGTTATTATCTTTAATAACAAATTAATTTTTACTAAATTATTATTTAATATAATATATATTTGTATATAAAATTACTGATTATATATAATATTTTCAATAATCAATAGGCAGCAAATAATTCCAAATATAATGACATACTTAACGGCAACACATTTGAATGATTTGGTTGTAACGCAAGCAAGTGATGCCAAAAACATGGGTCGCGGCTCACAATCAGTCAATAATGTCGATTCAATACCTCTTAATAAAAGACATATTTTTAAGTACAGTCAAACTCTAAAGTATTTTTAAAATTATTATTAATATATAAAATATATATTACTTTTTAAAATAATTTTTCAGAATTACTTCTGAATTGGTTAGACTTTTTGGTCAAATAAGTTGTTTGAGACCAGCATTGGAGTCACTATTTCATCGGATATTACTCTATCCACCCGTTAGTCAGCGATTAGATGCTCTTAAATGGATGAAAGAGGTGCTACACATTGTACTTGATTTTCATATATTTATATATACATACATGTATTTACATATATGTATATACTGTATATATAATATATTGATGAATAAATTTTATAATATTTTATATAATAATTTTTTTTAATAATAATTTTATATATTTATAATCTATTTAATATAGTTATTGAAAATCCCATCATTTATAATAAATGCTACATTTGTTGAACCAGTATTTGGAAAGAGTTCCCGATCTAAGGATTTAGACTTATTGCATATGTATTTTCAATATTTATTTATATTATTTCTTATTTTAAAATAATAATAATATATATTATATGCTTTTGATTTGATTAAAAAGAGTAATGGATTCTTTAGAAGAATGCAGTCTATCTTCAGACATAGATATCTCATTGATGGCCATCTCATCATTGGTTGCTTTCTTGCATTCATTGTCTATTATATGCAACACTAATGGAAATAATAAATATCTTAGTCTTCATTTAATTGAGTCAATAAATAAAATGTATCCGACATTGAAATTAGCAGATTTTGAAGGATTTGACGTACGAAACACAGACGTCCATCAAATCGATGAATATTATGAATGTCAGCCAAAAGTTCCGATCAATGTTTTAAAGACCCGAATCGTTGGCTTTGATAGCAATAATATAATGACAAATAATGAAGATGTGWGTGAAAATGATAAGCAAAGAGATAACGAAGAAAATAATATTAGAAAAGAATTRTTTGCCAAAACAAATATCAAACAATTTAAAATTGAATTTTTCAAATCAAGACTTAAAGAAATTATGGATTCAAAATCAACAGATAGTTATACTGAGAGCCAGACTAACGAAAATGACAATTTTGAAGATAATGATAGTCAAGAAAATGAGATATCAATTAAATCTAAAACTATTGTTAATAATGATGTCGACGAATGTAMTAATCGTAAGAAAGAAATTACAAATAAATTTATAAAAATGGAAAGTCTTTCGACTAATTATGAAGAAGTTAGAGAATATCAGAATTCTTCGTCATTTAGTAAAACCAGTTGTACTGAAGGACCAGAATTTGAAGAATGCGAAGATAGGGAACCTATGATTACATGTGACGATGATATTCATCTTCAAAGAAGTAATGCCAGAAGTTTTGCGACGACACTAAAGCTTTATTTGCCTAAATTGTTAACAATGCGTACATCAATAGAGGCCGACCACGCACTACAAGAATTTGCATCCAATTATTGCTCCGGTATTTATGTAAAATTATTTTTAAATTATAAATATTTATCTAAATTATATATTATATATATAATGAATATATAGAGCTTTTAGATGGACATAATGGCGAAATAAAAAATTATTCAAATACTGTGATTATCAATAGCGATGGCATCTATTTATCTACTTATTCAACATTATTGTTTAATTTAAAGTTAATTGATAGCAATTTTTATTCAAATATGTGTCAAAGTATTCCTTTAACTGAGGTATTAATAATATTAATTATAATTTTTGATAATACTATCAAATAATTAATGAGATATTTATGATAATAGCAAGAATTTATTGATGATATTCACAACAGTGGTATTCTGGTCTACATATCAGGTCACTGGTTGGCAGAGCTCTACCAAATAGTATTGACTGATAATCTACTTGAAAATGCTGGTTATAAGCACAACGAATATATGAACACTGCCCTTATAAACCTATTGAAAGATATAGATGGRTTAGACAGCTGTGAACCGGGTGCCCAACAATTATCAGACTACCGACGCCTCGAAAGAGCCGTTTCGTGTCATAGTATTCCCGAAAAAGAGGCTGAAATTAATGCAGCTTTTAAATTGGTTAGACGTTTAGTAACAGCCTTTTGGGATACAATTGTTGGCTGCTTTGGGACAGCTTTTCGGGCTAATTGTGGCTCTAATGAGTTATCAAATGCTATTGCATTAAACACACTATTAGTTAATGACGTCAAAGCTATAACTAATAAGAAAAATATGGTATTATTTTTTATTAGATAAAGTTAAGTAATTTTATAATAGATTTCATGTTTGACAGATAACATGCAGTTTGGATGGACTGCAAACAGCAGCCAAACTATGCATCCAATTAGCTCTTCAGTCGAGATGTGATACAATTTTTCAATTATTGGCGCTTTCGGTAATCGACACAAAATGTGAGATAAATAATGAAAAAAATCACACAAAAGTCAAACATTCATTTACTAAAAGAAGTGTTATTGAAGTTATTAAAAATCGTTTGCCTATAAGTTTACACACATCGCATGTATTAAGTTTGCAGGTATTCATTGTTTTCAAATTGCAATCAAATTATGACTGACTTTAATATTGTAAATAATTGTCAAATGACAGGTACTTTTAAGTTGTGGGCTTGAAATGGGCAGTCATTGTCAATCGTGTTGGAGATATGTATTTAAAAGCTGTCAGTATATCATGGAGTTGGAGCACAATTACTTCACATCCCGACACTCCTCACTATTGAGTAGTACGCGAACATCTATCTCATCATTTATCAAATCATCCTCAAAACAAACTGATCCTTATCTTAATTTTGATACAAATGTTATCCCGACTTCAATGCCAGGCATTAATGAGTCCGAAGAGATTAATACCGAGACGTCTATCAATAATTTGATCTCCGAAACCAATGATCAGCTTTTAAAAGTAAATAATGTTTCGACTTATTTAAACAATTTAATARTTAATTGATAATTAATTAATTAAATTTTTAAAGGATAAACAATTAGAAAAAGTGATTGATATACTGTCCCATTGTTTGGATCTCTTATTTGAAGATGCAGTCAATAAATTAAATCTACAATCACTTCATGGCTTTCTAACTGAACTATGTCTTTGTAGTCGCGAACAACTATCACTTATTTCTAAAGTATGTTTCAATTTAGTTAACATTTATATGATTTTTAACAATTTATTTCAGACAACATCTGTCGCTTCCTATTCTGGAAAATCTCTTTTGTTATTCCGCTTGAGTGATGTCATATTGAGATGTGCCAAAAGTGGTCGACCGGTATTACATTTTATGAAATGTTGGTCAGTAGTGGCCACTCATCTAACTGAAGCAGCCTCTCATTGCGATCCATTTGTGGCCAAAAAATCTATATCTACTCTTCATGACATAATTAATGTGTTTCTTTCGGTTCACAACGAGTTACCACATTTTCACTTCAATGAAGCACTTTTTAAACCATTTGAAAACTTACTACTTCTTGAAATGGTTGACTTAGATATTCAAGAGTTAATCATTAGTTCAATTTGTGAGTTTGTCGAGGGAACCACTGAAGACATTAGGTCAGGTTGGAGACCATTGTTTGGTGCCCTTCGAGGTATACGTCTTCCACAAGTAGTTCCTTATTCTGTTAATTGTTTAGAACAAGAAACAGAAAGAGTTAGACAATTAAGAGTTATTTTGGATATATTTGAGGCCTTTCTTCACACTAATAATCTTCAAGTGTTGGCCAACGCTGTTGTCGATTGTCTCTTATGTCTTCTTAAACTTATTAAAACTCCGTTACATTTTGTCAATCAATTGGACCTAACAATTGGTAATTTTTTATTACTGTTTTTCAAATATTTGTAATACAATAATAATTATATTTACTTTAGGAGAAAATCRTACAGAAACAACTGATTTGTGTATAATTTCATTAAAATATTTAAATCAATTGTCGTCAATGTTGTGTTCAATGTATCAAATGCCTGCCTGTCCTCTATTTGCATCACACAAATTACTAGACACCAAACGACTTATCGATACAACAAACTTAGAGCTTAATCAAGAACTTGATTCTAACATAACCTTAGATATGATAGACAGACCCAACAAAATACTTCACATTTGGTTTCTTTTAATTGATGAGATGTTTCAAGCAATTCAAAAATGTCAGCCTAAACATCAAAAGACAGCAATTGAAATGATATTTTACTGGTTTAACAATTTAGTTGACATACCTGGTGAGTGCACTTTTTACCTAGACCACTTTATTTTTAAAAAAAAATATATACTTTAGGTCCTAATTTTGCTATTTATTGTGCAAATCATATAATGATACCAACACTTCAAACCATTACTCACGAGACTCTTACGACAGACAGTGTTGAGGATAACAGCAGTTTGAAAGAGTACAGACTTTCAGCATTAAGACATTTATATGGTCTGACAGCTGATCTAATCGTACATAATATTAAAGCCTTAAAATCTAAAGACAATGACAATATAGTTGATTTAGATTTAATGCTCAAACAATCACTATTGGTATACATTGAGACATTGAATGGTAAATATCACGAGTCTATCGCCAAATTGAGCTGTGCTTGTATTAGGTTTGTATTAAATAACAATAATTTAGATATATTTTTAATTAACTATTAAATATTAGTAATATTATATGTATGTTATTTTAAATAAAATGTTAGGCATATATTGCTCTCAGTTTATGATAATTTTGACAACAATTTATGGCAAATAACAATTGATTGTTTAACAATTGCCCATAAAATGACATTACAATCATTGGAAGCATTGCTTAATATTTTCAATAATAAGAGCGAAAAGTTTTTTGAAGATTTGGATCAAATTCAAGTGATTTGTAAGCGAAATTCGTGTGAAGACAATCAACAATTATGTAGATTAGCGCAACAGATATTCCTATTGGACGCACAAAGAAAGCAAACCATATCGAGTGAGTCCAACAAATGGTCATCAGTTGATGCAAATGACTTTTCCACGATTCCCGACAATCGATCCTTTATTTTCTTAATCAATGCGGAGGACAAGCCTTTGACGTAATTGTGACTTTTATTTGTGTTAATTTCATTGAAAAAATATATATTATTTAAACTTTTTTTTACTTATTTTAATAGTATAACCTATAGAGTCTTAGTTATACAACTAACATCACATTGGCTTATATTGCAAACAATGGCTTCACTACTTCTTATAGGAATAAGACCAGTGATGGCAAACATTGATCAATTGATTGATTCAATTGATGGTTCACCAAAACCTAGTGTATTATCAATGGATATAAAACAATGCAGAGATTTGTTAAGATTATTAGATCACACCTATAGGTATACAATATTATAATAGATATCTGGTATTAATATAATGTATAACATGAAAATAATACTTAATTTTTTATACTTAATAATAGTATATCATTAAATTTTGATTCAAAACCGGGACTAAAGTTTTTAATACAAAAAATTAGTCGATGTGATGTCCCCTCAAATTTATATAAGTTTTCATCACTTGTTTGGTCAGTTCATCTTATGGTTGATATATTCTTCAGTAATGACAAAGAGTTTTGTCAACATTTGGGACAATCACTGCTTGAATTAAGTGAGACTTACGCACAACGAGTTAAACCAAATATTAAGAAACGGGTGACAATTGATGACATATGCTGTCAACCGTTGTATTTACTTCAACAGTCTAAAGAAGAACTTCAAAGCATTATTGCATCGTTTAAGACAAACAATATGTTTAGAGAACTGTCTGAAGAAGTAATTTGCGAAGAGAACCATTCAGATGATACTAAAACAGATATATCAGAGTTTGTCAATAATAATAGTGATGTCAAGTTGTACTCATTGGTAACTGAAACGAAAATGGATTCAATGATGACTGAATACAAAAAATATAAGTCACATCATTCACCTATTCCTCAAAATGTTAGCGAAACCATTGAATCTAAAAAATATGTTTTTAATTGTAAACATAAATCCAATGAAGATATTGATAATAACGACAATGAAAGCCAACAATTTATTCTTAAGGTTTATATTTATAATAATAATTATTGTCAATAATATTTGCAAGTTTAGTATAAAATGCATACTGTATTTAATTTACTATAATTATAATCATTTAGGACACACAGGCATTCAATGAATTGTGGAGTCAAGTAATATCTAACGCTATAGATCTTCATTTATCGTTACCATTACCACAATTCAAACAATTAATTGTTGCATTTGAGCCATCAATCAAATTATTGGTCCAATTCAGCGAAGATAATCAACTGAAGGGTCGCATCTCTGAATGGATTTCCAAATTGGTTGATATTATTTGTGATAAAAATCAATAATATTGAAATTGGCTTATTTTTAATATATGTTATTTATTATATGTTATTAATTATAAATTTTATAACTGCTTTGCTTTTCTAAGCTTATATAACATAACAGTCAAATATTACCGTATTATAGTGGTGTCAAAATGTTATTTAAATTATTTAATCTTTTTATTAATATTATTATTGAATGTTCTTACAAGTTATAATATATTGTTTATTCTAAATATTATACTAAATTAAAAATGTATAAATGTTTATATAATATAAAGTATAATTTATTATAAATTTATTACATGTCAATACTAATTGAAATATGTAAATAAAATATACATGAGTTTCCAATATAATTACAAATTCTTAATAATACAGTCTATTAAATATCATTTACTAAAAATATTTATTAAATATTATAGAATGTATAATATAAAATATGATGATTGAGTAATTTATTATAAGATTAGTTAATGTTTTGTTTAATTTATAATAAACAACTGATTATCATTAAAATTGTTGACTAATAAGGTCTCCAAACAGAAAGTGTGTCACTATTAGTAAAACTATTGTTTGAGTCTAAACTTGAATTATTTAGATAATTACCAAAACTATGATTATAACCATAAAAATAATTATCATTTAGATTATTCTCACAATTGTTTGTGCGATTAGTTATTAAATGTTGTAGACTTGAATTTGATGAATACAGAGGTGGATATATTAACGAAGACATTAAATTAGAGCCATTCCCAGAGGGAAGACTTGGTAGTGGGGGTAGTGATGACAATGACAGCGATTGTGACTGTCCTGATGGACCACAGGTCGGACCATAATAGTTATGATTTAACAATGAATTGGATGGTATATATGTTGTTGCACTACTAGTACATGTATTTTGATATGTGGGTGCTGTGAATGAGGACGGATTGATATTTGTATCTAATAATAATAATAAAATAATAATAATACAGTATAATTACTACAATATAATTACTGTCAATTGATATATATTATGAAATTCAAAATTAATAAATAATGATTTCTATACCTAATATGTTTGTGTTTGGTTTGGTTATATCGGAAGTGCTTTTTAATGGAGAACTCAGTTCACAGCGTTGCTTAAGATCTGAGAGTCGACTACTATTATGACTACTATTAACACCAGTACTACTACTGTTGCTTTCATTTGTCAAATGACTTGTGGAACAAGTGATAGGTCTAACCTCATGAACATCACTAAGATGTGCACTTGAGTTGTGGTTATATATAGTTGTATTGCTATCAATCAATTGGTTTTGATGAAAATCACTACAATTTGATTGATTAGTCATGTAATAGGCAGCAGTTGTCGCATAATGTGTGGTAAATGCAGAGCTAGTATTCCATGTATCGGTTGCTGCACTGGTAGTCGATAGCTGTAATCCCGGAGTTATTTCTATAATTCATAGAGTTGTAGTTTTTATTATAATTCAAATTATATTTTTATACTATTACTGTTAATTTAATATTAATCTGTAATAATTATAAGAAATTTACAAATAAAATGCATACCCTGACCTGTAACCGGAAGTCTGGCCACATGTGCGGCTGCCGCCTGTGCGGCCAAACGCCACTCGTTTGTTGAAATGGAAGGAATACCACAACTTCGGGAATCAAAATATGGTTGTCTTGGATGTCCAAAAGCAGTGGCAAATGCTCTTAAATGCTGCTGATGTCCTAAAAGTAATGGATTTATTCATATTTGTAATATCCTATAATGGGGGGACAAATTAGAAAATTAAATTTTAAAAATTGATTACTAAGTTTGCTTCTGGGCTCTCGGGGACCATCGACTGTCACTTTAATAGCTTTGGCATATATGCCTATTTGAGGCGGATTTGTGCTCAACGTTATGGTTAATGAAAAACTTTTGCCTATAATTTAAAAAGTTTTAATATATTTAATAGTTTTAAAAAATATTATTTATTTATAAAAACTAATCAATTAATTAATTCTATCAATAATAAACATATTCTTATATTTATTCTTTTACTTCTATATATTCAATATTTCAATACTAATATATTTCAGCTTTGCTTAAGTTTGGTAAGAAAAACCATAAAATATGCAAACAAGTCATGAGTGAAAATTCAGTAACTGATTGATTGCATCCATTTATATGATGGGCTACGTGTGTGTATGTGTGTATGTGTGTATGTGTGTATGTGTGTATGTGTGTATGTGTGTATGTGTGTATGTGTGTATGTGTGTGTGTGTGTGTGTATGTGTGTATGTGTGTATGTGTGTATGTGTGTATGTGTGTATGTGTGTATGTGTGTATGTGTGTATGTGTGTATGTGTGTTTTGTGTGTGTGTTTAAGTGCTATAAAACACAAGTAAAGCGTTTTGAGTCTTAAATACATATCTATGCCATTGCTTGACATCGACTGTTACGATCCATTAATCGACAATCAAAAAACTTGAATAAACTTTAAAACATAAGTTTGATTTGCAAACCAAACACAAAAAAGCACTTACAATATCACTTGATATAGGTTTCAATACAATAGAAAATACATACATATATTCAATATATTTCAATAGATTTATTTCAGATAAACGATATAAAAAAAACCTCATTATTGGCTTAAGATTTTAACCTCAACTCAACCAGTCATACAATATCTATTGTTTTGCAAATTTAAACATAAATAATTTCAATTCACTCAATTATTAATTTTATTATACAGATAAGCATACAAATAAACTTTTAAAACTATTTAAATGAATATATTTTCTTATATGTTAAGAAAAAAAGTGTTATTAAATGTCAATCAGATGACTAGTGGACATACCTCTGCCGGATCTGCCGACAAATCTAAGGTCATTGAACTTTGCCACCTGATTCTTCATGATAGCCGAAGCATTCCGGAGTTCTCCACACCAGTTCTCATCATTGCCCGCACGTATTGTCACTATAGTTCCGTCCGATACTTCGGACAACGCAACAACTTTGAATGAAACCGGAAGTGTCTTATTTGATCTCCAATGGGATGGAAGTGCCGAACATATTATATTAGGACTACCTGTTAAACCACAAATAGACATTGTTGTTGTTGTTGTAATTTACTAAAAAATTAATAGAATATTTCGACATACCTGTCCTCATCAACTCTCCCTGATGTTCGCTCATCACTTCATTTAGGAGGCGTTCGCCAGGAAATAAAAAATCACTCATTTTTATTAACACAACACAAAAACAATCTGGTAATGTATAATATACAGTATATTAATAACTATATTAAAGATTAGTCTGCATTAAAAAATGTCAAATTAAGTAATAAATGTTAGTTTTTTCATTGATCTCTTAATGTTTATCAGTAAAGATGTTTTGCAAAATGTTTCAAATCTTATGCTAAACTGACCGAACGATAGCTTAAGAAATATAATATGGTTTTGAAAATTTTATGGATAACTGTTTTGAACGCATAAATCGCTAGTTATTGAAGTTATTTCAAATGGCAAACATATGGCCCGCAATAAAATTGTCCAAATCTTATGGCATCTGCTTTTGGCTCAAATAAAAATAAAAGGAAATCGCAATTAAAAGCAACCAAAAGACATACAAAGAGACAAATAAAACTAATTAAAAGTTTTTTTGTACAATTTTTGGGTCCCAATAATTGTATACTTTTCAAATTGATTGCATTGTACTATATTGTACAATAATGACAATAATATAAAATTTTACACTAATTGTATCAATAAAGCAAATATTTAACAAATAAATACAGTATAATATGTTGTTTTACTTTATAAGCTAAAGTCTATTTATTACAGTAGACTAGCTTATAATAGCAATAATCATAGCCTATAAAATATTTATCACAAAAATAAATTTATATCAATTTTTATGAAAAATAATTAGAAAACAGATTTTATTTTCAAATTACTAATTATTATTAATTATACTTTAAATGTGCAACATATAATAATTGTGTCATTAAATTTTATTAAATAYTAAATTGATTATATTTTTTTATATATATAATACTAAATTTAAGTAAACAATTTATAATTAACATTATAGTTTAATAATTTCAAAAATAACTTTAAGCATAAACTCTAACGGATTGGTTAACTATTTGGTGAGACCACTATTTATCGCATAATTTATTTGTTTGAAGGTTATCAAAATGATCCAGGCTATAATCTATTGAAATCAATATTTACACAAAATTTCTAAATGTTAAATATGATGCATAAATTAAACAATATTTTATTTTTGAGTTTATTTATTAGTATTTTTAATATTGATAATTATATATTTGCAATAAAAATGTTAAATATTAAATAAATAGCAAAATTTGTAAAATATGTTTTTTACTTACATCAAAATAAATAAATAGAAGTATCATAAAACATAAAATACAAGTAAATAATATTGATATCATTTTTAATAAATGTTTCACATTATTACAGTTTTTTTATATAAACACACACTAATTGAACAATTGACAAAACAACGGGATATGATTTAACTCAAATTTATTTGAAGTTTAGTTTTAAAAAAACATTTGAAAATGATTTGAAACATTTAAACAAACTTATGTTAATCATTGAAAAGCTTGTCTTTGGATGAGATGAACCAAATAAATGATTAAATGATGGCTTACATTGAGAAACAATGTATTCAAAGACTGGTTCTCTCGTATTATTTATAAATATATACTATATATACTGTATGTGTAATACACTGTGTATATAATATAAACGCCTTTAGCTTACGATTTAATATTAAAGATAAAAAGAAATTTATTTAAAATGTATATCAAATGTGATTCAAAGTAACAACACTTTACAGACAGCATATCCATACATGTGATGACTATTAAAACAAATCATTACTCTCTAAAACATGTGAATGAGTTGCACTCAAACAAACTATTATTTAGTTAATAATAATATAAATAAAGTCTAACAAACAATTAGCATATCATGGGCTATAAAATTGATAATTTTAATAAATTCTCGCTTAAATCATTAGACACCCACTGTATAAAACAGGTAATTATTAAAAAACTATTGTATATTAAATATACACTTATTAATATAAGTTATATTAATAGTGTACAATATTTAAAGTACAGTATATTATATATTTAAAAATCACAAATATTCTAGATTTTTAAATTAAAATCTTATTAAAGCAATATAATAAATATTGATAGATTTTTTTGACAAATTTATTTTATATTTTGTAAATTATAATAAATATTTGTAGAAATGTTCAATTATAGCTGAAGGCACTGTAATATAACTAAATAAAATTATAACAAGGAGTGTGATATTTATCTATTAAATATTTATAAACTATAATGATTAATTACATCTATATATTTAATTATTATAACTAATAATTCGTTATTTTATTTAATTGCCTTAAGTTTTAAATTCTTTTGCAAAATATTACATATAATAAAAAGTTTTTATTTTATAAAATGTTATTATTTTTCAATACTATTGTTTATAAAATAATTGTATTTTTGAATAACTAACTGTTTATAATAATAAATGACTAAAAGGTGTTTTATTTATTGATATTAAATAAGTAAAACATTTTATGAAATATTTGACAAATTTTGAGTAATGCTTTCCTACTATTGATATTAACTATACAGACACTGTGTTTTAGGTCATTATTTGTTAGACTGAGTGGTGGGAACCGGACTCTTGACTAATGTCTATTGATGTTTACCTCAGATACTTATGTTTAAAAATAAGATGATGTTTGAGAACAATGATGTTTGAGAACAATGATTATGTGCTAAATCACACCATTTAACTCACATTTTAATATCTTTTTAGTATACTATAAATGAAGGGACACACGAGTCTCATAATTAAACTGTAAATTTAACTAAAAAGCTGTTTAAAGATATTTATGTAAATTATATTTTATAAATTTTTAACTATTAAAAGTTTAACATAAAGTATATGAATTAAAAAATAAAATAGATATTGTTTGAAATATAACATTAAATCATTAAGTTTTTTATGAATGGCAACATTAACTTTCTGTTTGCAAACTTATAATTATCAGCAAAACTTTTATTTAATAATTTAATTTAAATGATTTCAAAATTACTTTTTCAAAATTATTATTTTTTATGTTTCTTAAGACTGATAAATTTTTTTATAAAATGCTTAAATTATTGGCAATAAACGATACTAACGATTATCCAGTAGTTTATCTTCAGGTTGTTTAAAGGTAAATGGTTTGGTATGGCTGTTATGATTGCAAATTAGATGTAAAACTTGTAATGGGTGTGAACCCGCATAATAACCCTAATGGCCATAATTGATGTAATGTTGCAGTGAATGCCACCAGGGATTCACAAAAGACCCGCATTTGTGACAAATTATATATTAATTATAATATATTTGCTTATATTTATTACAATTATTTTTATCGAAAAATGTTTATACAATTAGTTAAAAATTTTAAGACTATATGTGTAACCAAAAATTTATATGAAATTATAATATTATACTTTAAAGTTGATGTGGTTTTCAAGATAAAAAAAAGTTTGTTTTTAAATACTAATAAGCTAAAGTGAGGTGATTTTATATTTATATTATATATATAACTTTAAAGTTGCATATCATGTAATTAAACTAAATTATTTGTGGATTATTAATCCACATTTCAACTAAATTATATCTTTTTATCTAAAGATTAATTTGTTTGATAGTAAAAGTTTAAAAATAATTAAATTTTTATATTTGCTAAACAAAAATATTTGTTTATTAAAAACTTTTAACTTAACGAAAAAAAACTATAATATGCAATTCACCAAATAATTTTATTACTAATTATATTTATAACTTAGTATTAAAATACTATAAATATATCTTACAAAAATAGCATATTGTATAAATAAAAGTAATGTATAAAATTTAGAAACTGCACAAATATATGTTTTGTATAAATTTTATATAAGATACAGCAATTTATAAATAATTTATAAGAAACACATTAAATACAATAAACCTTATATAACATAAAGTAACAAACTATGAGTTAATTGACTGTAATTTTAAGCGTTTCTCAAATGAGCAAAATATTCATTAATTTACTTTACCTTCAATTAGTTGGGGAGTGTAGGCATCGATGCTTTATTTGTCTTTATTTGTGATGAATAATTCAATATAAACTGTAAGACATGAAAGTGCCATCACTGACATCACTGATCAGTTGTATATCAAATGATCAACTAATATATATAGTATTATATTTGACTTTAAGTCAAATATTTATGGTCACCAATATTAATACCATTGAGTTATCACTGATGAGTGATCATTGATTGCGTGCAGTCATCGATGATTTATATACAGTATATACTRTATATCAAAGATGTCACAAAAAGTTTTTTACGACAGATATACAATGTTTTTATTAATACAACTATCATAATATATAATAATCTATTATTTTTTAAAATAAAAAAATATTTATTATTATATTATATTATTTTATTGAACTATCAATGAATATATAATTGTATTATCGACTCCTCCTTTAACTTAACAAAATACAATATACAATATACAATATACAATATAACAATAGACCGGTTCAAATCTCAACTATCTTAAATCAATTACATTTTACATTTTGTTATATGTATAACAACAAGCATTAGTAAATATATAGTATTATTATTATAGTAAACAAATTATAATGATTATCTAAAATACAGTTTCAATTACAATATTATATTTTCTACAACAATTTGTCTTCAATTTAAAGATTTGATCAATTTTTTTGTAAAACGATTCGATGATTACTACCAAAGATGATTAAGTGGATCACCGGTGTCGGTGTCAGAGTCGCTGTTTTTATTGTATAAATAAATATAGCAAATATGTCTACAGGTATTAAATAATGAGATGCTAAATAATAATAATAATAATAATAATGTTATTATTGGTTATGATTGTATGCAATTGTAAACGAGTCATTGAGTCTATTGTTAGCATCAATTGTTTGCTAACAAAATAAATAAAAATCAATGAAATTATTATTACATTATATATTGATATATAATTTAAAATCATTGCTTATAGTAATATAATAGTTATATCAACCATATGTCTGGTGTCTCAATAGTGAAGTACATTGAAGACAATTTGATGATAATATTGAAAGCTTTATAAATAGAAATTATATTATTATATTAACCAAAGGAAACGTG